GATTGCACACTCCCCCTCTTCTGGTCGCAGTCGTGGTCGTAGAGATCGGGCGGGCGCCCCTTCATCCCTTCCCCACCTGGAGGGGGGGGGGACCCGGGTCCCGGGGAATTCCGAGGGGAGGGCGGGGCGGGCGCCGGACGCGCCGCGCGCCCGGCCTTCATGCGTACGGAGGTGAGCCCGTAGAGCCCGATGCCAAAGAACATGGCCACCTCCTGGGGGGGGGGGTCGCACGCCACTGGGGGGGGGTCCCTCAGAGAGGACCTTGTTGTCACCGCGGGTGGCTCTGGCGGGCCACCAGTCAGCGACAGGACCCCCCTAGAAAAAAGCTCGTCATCCTCCGCAGCAGGATCAATTTTCTCAAGAATAGCTTCTCCAAGCTCACGGGCCCCCTCCTGAGGGGGAACGAGAACGAGGGCGAGCGGTTCGAAGTAGAAAGTTTTTCGTAGTCATAGCATCCAAGAGATTATGTATGATTCCTCCATGCCAGCAAGCCTTCCATGGCACAAGCGCAGGCTGATCAACGGGGCACCACAATACTAAACAGGCGACCCTGCGGACGTCTCCCGGTGCGCTCTGACCAAAATCTCGGGGCGAATCCAGCGGTGGTGACGAAGGCCTCCCAGGAGGCCCAGAAGAGGGGAAAACGAGGCAAGGGTCGCGGCATCGATACCTCTTCCTCCTCTGACGACCCAGCCCTCCGGCCGCCCTGACTTTCTCGATGCGTGGGGCCCTGGAGGTCTGAACCGCTGCCCTGGGGCCGCTTCTTCGTCCTGCATCGCTGTGTGGCGGCCCCGCGGCCCGGCGAGGGCCCCCCGGCGAATGCCGTACGCGGCGAAAAACCCGCCGCCGCCGCGGCAAGGGCAGCGGTACCTCTTCCCCTCCCCCCCCGAGGATCTCTGCAGGCTCTGGGCAGGGCGGCAGCCAGGCGGGCCAGCAGCGGGGGCGGCTCCCGGGCCGTGAGGAGCCCTCGCGGGGCGCCCCGCGCCCGTGACGGCGAGCGCCCTCGCGAGTGCCCCGGCGGCACGCCTCGGCAGAGCCCCCTTCGGCGCCCCCTTGGGGCTCGACGAGAACAGCACCGGTGGCGAGCCTCGTCTGTTGGGCCAATTCTCGTCTGATGGGCCGATTCTGATCGGGCGGGCCTCGTCTGATGCGCCAATTCTCCACCACCACCACCACCACAGGCAGAACGGGGGAGAAGGGAGGAGATGGGGAGCTCCTCCTCCTCCCCCTCCTCCTCCTCCTCCTCCTCCTCCTCCTCCGCCTCCTCCTCCTCCTCCTCCTCCTCCTCCTCCGCCTTCCTCCTCCGCCTCCCTCCTCCGCCTCCCTCCTCCGCCTCCCTCCCCCTCCTCCTCCTCCTCCTCCTCCGCCTCCCTCCGCCTCCCTCCTCCTCCTCTCCTCCTCCTCCTCCTCCTCCTCCTCCTCCTCCTCCTCCTCCTCCTCCTCCTCCTCCCTCCTCCCTCCTCCCTCCTCCTCCTCTTCTTTCCTCCTCCTCCTCCTCCTCCTCCTCCTCCTCCTCCTCTCCTCTCCTCCTCCTCCTCCTCCTCCTCCTCCTCCTCCTCCCCCCTCCTCCTCCCTCATCCTCCCTCCACCGCCGCCCTTTCCTACCTGTGGTAATGGTGGTGGGATTCGGCCTATCATTATCAGAAGGCTCGGAAGGCCTCGGGCCTTCTGAAGAGTGGTGTAGGCCTTCCCCGAGGGCACAGAAGACTTCGCAGAAGGCCGAAGGGCTTCTGAGAAGCCCCGCCGCCTTCTGAGAAGGCCTGCCCCCCGACACAAAAGCCGCACAGTCATCGTGCTGGGGTCGCAGCCAGGGGGCTCTTCTGGCCACAGCTGCGTATAGTCTCGGCCACGAGCAGGCAGGCCCCCCGACGTGGATCCAGGAAGCGGGCCGAAAGCCAGACCTCATTCCGAGCCGAAGGTGGTCCGTGCTTCGGCGTCTCGACTGCCGTGCCGCAGGAATCCGTCCCCACGCTGTGCCCCGCAGGCGTGGCGGGGGCGTCTGACACCAGACTCTCGGGGGATCTGGGCCTCGTGCGCGGGAGGAACAGGAGGAGAAAGAGGAGGAGGAGGAGGAGGAGAAGAGGAGGAGCAGGAGGAGGAGGGAGGAGGAGGAGGAGGAGGAGGAGCAGGAGGAGGAGGAGGCGGAGGAGGAGGTAGGCCAGAGAGAAAGTTCATCGCACGCCAACGATGCTGCAATTCCCTCCCTGGTCCAAGTCATCTCTCGCCATCGCCAATACTTGCACTTAGGTGTTCCTGCTTGTCTCAGTTGTCTTGCTAAGGAATTGGTTGGATCCGGCAAGGGTTCTCCAATTGCCACCCGTGGCCGCCTCGTGCGCTGGGTGGGTCCAGCGAAGTTTCGCCACGTTGCCGCCCACGGCCGCCTCGTGGCCGCCTCTTCGTCCTCTCGAGAGAGTCCACGAGGGGGACGTCCGAGAAAGGGCGTGCAAACCATGGCCGGAGGCACGTGCGCGGACGAGAGTGAGGGGGCCAGGGGACGCGTTGAATCAAGCAAGCTGCCGAATCCGGGCAGCTATCATGGCCCTGGCCATGATCTCCCCCCCGGCAATGCAGCCCTGGCTCTGCAAGATCCTGCAAGATCCGGCGCCCTGGCTGACCCCCCGCTCGCATTGGCCCCCGCCTCCACCAGCTCGAAACAGAAGCGAGCGGTCACATCTGGGCAGCGATATCTGCCCCGCGCTAGTCATCCCCCCTCCCTCTCGGGGACGCGCGGGCCCGGGTCAGTGCAAGCCCAGGTCAGCGATCCTGCAAGATCCGGCGTGGCAGGGTCCTGCAAGATGCTGCAAGATCCGGCGCTCTGGCGGACCCCTGTTTGCATTGACCCCCGTCTCAGGGCTCCCACCTCTTGGACGCCCCCGATCTTCCAGGGACGCGGCCGACCCGGACCCGCGCCAGTTCCTGGGCCAGCCGAGGCGCCCGGGCCGCACGAGCCCAGACGAGCGAGGGGGAGCGGGCAGGGGGAGGGAGGGGAGGGAGGGAGAGGGGAGGGAGCGAGGGGAAGGGGAAGGGGAGAGGAGGGGAGGGGACGGGAGGGGAGGGGAGGGAGGGAGGGAGGAGGAGAAGGAGGAGGAGGAGGAGGAGGAGGAAGAAGAGGCGGAGGCGAGGAGGAGGGGGAGGGGGAGGGGGAGGAGGAGGAGGAGGATCAGGAGGATGAGGATGAGGATGAGGATGAGGATGAGGATGATGAGGATGAGGATGATGAGGATGGGATGAGGATGAGGATGAGGATGAGGATGATGATGATGTGATGATGATGATGATGATGATGATGATGATGTGATGATGATGATGAGGATGATGATGATGATGATGATGAGAGGATGAGGAGGAGGAGGAGGAGGAGGAGGAGGCTTCGTGGTTGCGTTCGGTCGGGCCGGTTCGCTCGGCAATCGTGCTGCTGCCGCGCCGCTGCGCCCCTTCTAGGGCCCGCTCGGCGGCTCGTCCGGCTCGGCCGATTTGGGTCTCGGCCTCGGATCGGTCGGTCTGGGGGCTGTGCTGCCGCCGTCGGCGGCCTCGGCGTTGACCCTGACGGGGTCAGCCGGCATGGGAGGACCGAGGATCGAGGAGGGAGGATCGAGGAGTGAGGAGGGAAGGTCGAGGGAAGGTCGAGAGCCTAAGAGGAGGGAGAATGGGGGGAGGGCAGATCCGCTATGATCTCGCTGCCTCGTGGGACCGCGAGTGCCAGGCCGCACCCTCCTCCTCCGCCTCCGCCTCCGCCTCCGCCTCCTCCTCCTCCTCCTCCTCTTCCTCCTCCTCCTCCTCTCCTCCTCCTCCTCCTCCTCCTCCTCCCCTCCTCCTCCTCCCCCTCCCCCTCCCCCTCCCCCTCCCCCTCCTCCACCACTGTTGACGGAGCCGAACCGACCGAACCACGGACTCCCCTGCTGACGGCGCGCACAAGGGGGTGGCGCCAGCGGGATGGCCTTCCGAGCAGGCGGGATGGCCTCCCGAGGGGGCGGGTGGTCTCTTGCAGGCCGCCGCGGGCCCCCTTGGAAGCCTTCCTGGAGGCGCCCAGGCGCTCTCGACGGGGCCCCTGCTCTCGGGGGTCCCCGCCGCCCCATTGGACGGCCGCCTCCTCCCCCCCCCCCCACGGCACGCCCTCGTGCGCGGCGCCAACCCCCTGCGGCTGAAGTTGGAGAGGTGGCGTGCAGCATCGCTCGCCGAAAGGCACGCCATCCCTGTGAGGCGGACCGCCCCCCCCCCCGCGAGGGCCCCCCCTGTGCACGGCATCCCCCTGCCGGGGCTTCCTCCGGTGCACGCCACGTCCCCGAGGGGGTGGGGGAGGGCGTGCCGCCAGCGGGCCCGCGGCGCCACGTCGCGCGCCGTCTTTCCAACGCCAACCGTACCACCTGTTAGGGGGCCACATGCGAACCCTACCCCTACCCCCCACGATTTCTGAGGGTGAGGGTGGGGTTCACTTTGCTCGGGAGCTCCCGAATGAAGTGAGCCCCACCCTCCCCCTCAGAAATCGTGGGGGGTAGGGGTAGGGGTCGCATGTGGCCCCCTACCTGTGCTCCGACTCCCCCCGCGTCCTCCCGAGTTCCCCCGCCTTTGGGAACCCCCGCCGCCCGCGTGGCAACCCTTTTGAGAACACACAGAAATGCGGAAACGCATCTTCTCGGAGGCCCGCGCAGAGCTCCGAAAAGTGGACGCCTGTG